AAACCGAGGGCCCAAATCCACCAGCTCAGCCTGAGTATAGGGGCAGAGCATAGAGTGCACCATGATCTGGGGTGAGGGCTAGACCTCTCCTGGAGGAACCCGTGGTTGCTGCATCTTCATTTTCTTGGCTACAACTGGGAAGGCTTTCAACCAGGTGGGCTTTCAGCTGGTTTTCAACTGGCACCATCCCCACCCCTTGTCCTTCTCTATGCCTACATTTCCAGTGCTATCAGCAGCTTTCTCATTGCTCCCCCGAGTGCCTCCTCTACTACACCCTTTACCTTTTCTATAATGCCTTACAGTGATGCTGTGTCAGTCTTCAGCAGCTCTCTTACTTTTACCTCAATGCCTTGCAGCTGATGTTTTTGTACTGCCTCTTTCTGTGCTTCTCAGGATTACATCTTTCTCTTTCATGGCTTCTGCTTCTTCCATAGCACCTTGCAGCCTGCATTATTGTGCTATCTCTTCTTGTGCTACCATTACATCCTTTACCATCTCCACAGTATCTCATAGAGGTGCCATCTCAGTCATCAACAAATTTTTTACCTCCTCTGGCACCTCTCAACTCACATTCTTGTGTTGCTTCTTCTTGTGCTTCTTGCAGGAGCACATCCTTCTCCTTAATGGCCTTTCTTACCACTGTCAGAAAAAGCCAACCCATGATTCCTGCTGCCTTGTGGACACTCTGGTTCTTTAAGGAATTCCCTATTTTGCTGAGAGCCAAATCACTCCCTCTGGCATCACCCCGCCTTTCCCCAGTCCTGGGGAGGGGCCCACTCCTCTAGGAGGCAAGCTGTCTCAGACCACATGACCACTGGGGGAGGGGTACCCAAGTGTCTTCCCATCCATAGGGGCAGCCCACTGAAGTACCCCTCCTATGAGGACAGGTTATTTTTTTTTTTCTGGTCTGCAGCTAATCCTGCTAACATTGCCAAATGTCCTGCCTGAGGGTTTCAGCCCAGGGCAAGTTCACTCTGGATTCAGTGAGACTGAAATGTGACAATGGAATGTTGGGGGTAAAAGCATTAATACCCAGCTTTATTTATACCCACCTCCCAGTGGTGGCTGGTCAGGTGCTAGAATCCCATCAGTCTCTGGACAGGTTTGCATGTAGTAAACCAGTGTCTGCCTCCGGGCCTCTCCGCCTCCTCACAACAGCTCCAGAGCACTGGCCAGAGCTCTTTGTATAGAGTCAGTAATAACTTAATGGCTCACACATATGCAAGCCTGCATCTGCGAGCATTGCACAGGCGCAGTGACCAAACAAAGCAGGGTCAGGTGAGGATCCTGGCCATGGAACTTCCATTTTTCTTACAGTTGGGAAGGCTTTAGGAAATTGGAACTCCAGGACCACCCCATCCAGCCACAAGCAGCCTCCAGAGTCATATAAATAGACATTTTTCTACTTGTGGAAAATGTCTGAGAAGCACTGCTCTAACTGGGGTAAATCAGATGATGGTGCACTTGTACCCAGGTGATGCTGCATAGTGAGAACTGTGCCTGCTGTTTTTATTTTTTCACATAAAAGCATAGTCTACATTTTATTTCCATTGAAGTAAATACAGAATTTGTAAAAATATGTAGCCATTTTATATAGGAGTAATGGTCAACAGGTACCTTTCTATAAAGGATTTTGGTAGAGGGTACAAGCCTTCAAGTGCCCACTTAACTGGCCATTTTAAGTCTGATCTTAAGTTACAATCTAATTTTGTTGTCACTTCTACCTAACAAAATATAAACAAGATTGACCTAGGTTTTGCAAATTTGATAGTGTATGAATGTTAGGTGAACTGTTTAAAATAAAAATAGTGGATAATAATCATTGTGGTAACTGTCATTATTAAATTAATGTGAATGATACCTAGTGTATTGCTTAAGAGACAGAAGTGGTGGTTAGGCTTTTTTTTTTGACAAAATAAAAAACCAGCATATTAGACCTTCAATGAAAGTGTCAGGTATAAAAACATAGGTCAGTAATTGTTTTCAGTATTACTCCAAAAAACAGGTGCCAAAGTAAAAATCTGTACCTAAAGCTACCTATAGATAGGCTTTTAGATGTTACCATTTTGGTTATTATTTAGTATACTGAAGTGAAGTAGAAAAACATAAGAATAAATTAAAGATTTTAGCTGTACTTGCCAATGTTCAAGGGTTTGTAAAATAGGGTTTTCAGTAGACTAAGAAAGAAAATTAGATTGATATTCTTGAGAGTCCTTTTCTGTGTGTTTTTTGGGAGGTGGATGTTAACCTTTTTTGTAAAAGGAGAACTCAGGAATAAAGGCCTTGGATTAGGTAGTAATAACACATTTGAAATAAATAGTATCCAAAGCTAATTTATCTTGAATAGCAAAATTGTGTTGTGTGAAGAATATCCTTTAGTTTAATATTGTAGCTCTTAGTCAAGTTTCGTTCTGGTTCTTGTTAAGTAATTAAAACAGCAAGATCTTTTGTTTTAGTAAATGATTCTTAGTGTGGTACAGCTTTCCCTGATTTGGGACAAACTTCAAGAAAAGTAATCTCAATTAATGAAAATTGTGAATTATAAACAATTTAAAAATGCATTTCATTATTTCCTGGCACAGGTAACTTGAAGTAAAGTAGTATACTAGTCCATAATGTTTATGTAATCAGATTTTTAAATGTATAAGAAATATTTGTAATTAAAAGACCAATAATTAAAAATTGGATTTCTAATGTGTTGGATGTTAATGAAGTTTTTAGCATAAGGAATTAAAATACCAGTTATAACCATATTCACAATTTACTCCACTCACAAAATGCTTTGAATTTCTTAATTGACCTTGAATGTGTTGGTACTTACAGCCTGTGTTGAAAACGTAATCAAGGAATAAATGTGTCTCACTGATAATTAAGTAAAAATATCTTTCTGAAGTAGAAAGAAGTTAATTCACATTTCATAGTAATTGAGGAATTTGTATCCTGTCCATCAGTCTAAAAGATTATCTTTGTTTTCACTAAAAATAATTCATTATTTCAAAAATCCTTTAAAATGGAATGTCCTAGAATCTTATTAACTAATGCTATTTGGTAAAATCATGTAAGTGGCTAGTTTTTATTTTATTGCCATAGTGTACATAAGTGATTCTTTACCCTGATTACAAATTAGAATCACTTATGTAGGGCAGCTTTAAAATATACTGATGCCTTGGCCACAGCCCTTGATATTCTGATTAAGTAGGTCTCAGATGGGACCTGTGCAGAGGCATTACAAATTTGCAAGGTGAATCTGATATGCGGCCAGGGTTAAGAAATACACCTTAAAACTTAAGTGCTTGGGTAGCCTTGATGAGATGGTCATGAGTAGTAAGAAGACACACTCAACCATAGTTCCTAAATTTTAATGACCAGCTTAAATTAAATGTCACAAGACAGGAAATCTGCTATACCTCCTTGTCTTGACATTCCATTTTAGACCAGTGGTAAAAAAGAATGATCTTACAAAGCTTCCAGTCAGGTTAAACATCATTTAATAGTATAAATTGTTTCCCTCCATTAACTTTTAACTTGTAGTTGTGAAACCAAGTAGGCCATAGAGAATATGTTGTCTTAGATTGTGTAAATACATAATATTTATAATGTTACGTATTAAATCTCACAGGGAGTTTATATACATTGTCAATATATAGAAAACAGAGTATTTGTATCAGCTTTTTTTTAACTTTCTAATGAATATCTGACTGTGAAAACCTTAATTACATTCTCTGGTAATTTGAATATTGTCATGGAGCTCTTTAATGACTTTAATCAGCCAAACAATGAAAATTTTAGGTTATTTTTCATTCTTGGAGTTTGTGTACTTTTTTTGTGGTGTGTGGTAAAGATGGAAGTTCCTATGGCCAGGATCCTCATCTTACCCTAACCTACTTGATGATGTAGTTGGCCTACTGCAAGGATACTGCTTTCCACACCTGTAAGCAATAAGCTATTATTGACCGAGTCACTATATAAAGAGTTCCACTCATGCTCTGGGTGGAGGCAGAGATGGAGGTGGATTACGGACCTGAAAGACTGTTGGATGCAGATGTGATTTTAGTGCTTGACCTACTGGTGTGAGAATAAAGCCGGATAATAAACCCTTTTAACCCCAAGTACGTTCCATTGTCACTTTTCTGTCTCACTGATTCTATAGTGAACTTGCCTGGGGCTGAAACCCTCAGGCAAGACATGGGGTAAAAGTTTTAAAATTCCCTCTTTTAAAGCTAAAAATAACTAAATTGAAAGCTAAAAAATGTGGCTTTTGTCAGTATTGTACAACACAGGTGGCTTTGCTCAAGCATTTATACATCTATGAGGGAACTACTTTCCCCCTAGTGGGAACAGGACAATGCCATCTTGTAACCAACTTCAGCATTCTTGTTTTAGGATACTTACATTTTTGTTGGTTTTAAAGTTAACTGGGTACTTTGTAATTTTAATAGTAAAGCAAAAGCAGGGAAAAGACCTAGGTGTTTTTCTGATCACAAAGAGCTCTCTTAACTAGAATAAAGATGGAAAGGTGCTTTTCTACATACAGTTGGCATCTTCTTGCTACCTAATGATAAGATGATCAACATGTAGGCCTATCCTTGCATCTGGCTTTCTATCATGGCAGGAAGAATGATTTTCTTTCAGTTGGACTCTGGTGCATTGCTATTGTCACTGCTCCTGTACAGTCTCTGACTGAAGTTTCTATGCTTCCCAGTTCTACTTTCTGCATACCCTGGTCCACAGAGTATTTCTCCCTAATCTCCTTCAGTCTTACAACTCTTAAAAGTCTTGGAGTTTTCTAATAGTAACTAGTGGAAACAGGATATTTGAACTACAAAATTTTTACCTATCAATTTTAAAGATTTGGATTTGTGAAAAATTTTAATATCTTTATATGTGCTAATATAGAGTATAAAAGCAAATTTTTAACTATTTCAGTTTTATCAGTGTATGTGTAGTTTTTAAACTCTAAATGTTATGATCCCAGTAAATGTATCTTTTTTTTTTTTAAGGTACCAGTATTTTTTGCAAATTAAACGAGACATTCTCAATGGAAGGTAGGCTATTTAAAATTTTTAGTAATAGGCTTAAAAATACTTTTGTTCTGTATTAAATAATTCATGATCATTGCAAACAAAATGCATATTGAAAAATGGTTACATGTAGTATGAATTCCTTTCATTAGATAAGTTCATTACTTAATAGTTAAAATGTAAGTCACATGGAAACTTCAAATGTGAATGTATTATATAAATTATAATAATTTTGAAATTGTTTAACTTTGGGTTATATATTTCTTTGTTTTATTAGATTGCCCTGTCCTTACAATACTGCTGCTCTTTTGGCTTCATTTGCTGTTCAGTGTAAGTATCAGCTCACTTTTGGGTCAAACAGCATATAATTGCATAGTCTGTGTTGATAGTACGTTGCCTTTAATTTATGAGTTCTTTAGTCATATGTTGCTATACAGAAAAAAATGATGGCAGAGGAAATATAATGCAGTATCCAATTAGTGAGGAGTTACTTCGATTGTTGAAAAAAGTTTTCCAGAAGTTGTTTGAGACCTGGAAAATTGTTAATGTATCGCATAACTTCCTTAAATGGTAACAGTAGAAACACATTTTGCTTACAGGAATAACAGTGAGATTCATGTATTGCTCTGGAAGGAGGGGGTTCCCCACTTCGGACAAGTTCAGTATGAATTTGATGAGACCAAATAACAACAGTGCAGTGTAAAGGGTTAAAAGGGGCTCACACCATGTTTTATTCTCATGGTCACCTGGCTATGTACAAGAGGGAAGCCCGTTTCAGTCTCTGTTCCACTATAGCCTCTGCTCTCTCCAGGTGCTGCCACCCATTTGGTAGCTTTGTCTCCCTGCTGCTTCCTAGCACTGAGGCTCCACAGCTTCCCTCTGCCAGGCTCCTCTCTCTCTCCTCTTCTTGGCAACGGGGCTGTGCTGTTGCTTCTTTCTGCTACCCCTAGGCTCTCCAAGTTCTCTCCACTTTCAGGTGGAACTCTGTGGGCTGGTCCTATGGTGACTGGCAGACACCCAACCAATTGTCCAGGCACTTGAGTGTTTACTCACCACCCCTGCCCTGGGCCAGCTCTGTCAGCCAGTACACATCCTGCTGCCCAGAGGTATGTGAGTAGTCTCTTTCATCTGTACAGGGAGCAATATTAGGATGAGGGGAAGTGAGAATCCTGGTCATAAAATTTCCATTTTCTCCACACATGACATTGCTCATTTGGCTGTAAAAAATTGCAAAATGTGTTTATTAAAGTGTGAATATTTTCCTTTCATTTTTAGCTGAACTTGGAGACTATAATCGGTCAGAAAACTTACCAGGCTACCTCTCAGATTATTCTTTCATTCCCAATCAACCTCAAGATTTTGAAAAAGAAATTGCAAAATTGTATCAGCAACATACGTAAGGATTTATTTACTTATCTGCTTCTTAATGTAAACTTACTATTTTTAAGAATGTTTTAAATTACTTTTAAATAAGAGTGTTTTAAATTACATTTAATGTGATTGTTGTATTTATTAAACATAGAACAGTTAACACTGTGTAAAATTGGTGTAAAGAAATGTAAGTGATCTATACTAAAAAACTGTTAATTTCATGAAATATGAGGCCTTTTTTATTTCTATTAAGAACTGTAAAGCTGTATATAAACAGACATTTGCTATTATATAGTTGCCAGTTCTTTAAGAAGGAATTTTAGAATATTACTAGTAGGTTTACAATATACAGATCAATCTACATATCAATTCTTTCTCAGCTTCTAGGTGTGAAAGGAATCATTTTGTTTGTGATCCAACAGGAAAAAAGTAACTTCATGTAATATAAAATTTAAAGAAAATAGGCCTTTAAAAATAACATTTTTTCACTCATAACAATATTCCGCTTTATTTTGTGAATCTAATTTCCTGTGACAATTTTTTACAAGAGAATTGTTGCTTTGAATAGAAACTAATATTGTTTATTGGTTTGGACTTAAGTTTTACATTAACATGACAATTGAAAATACTTGAGGAACTAAGGCAGTGTTGCTTATTGGCTAAGAAACTGAGAGAGCCATACTGCTTGGTGTGAAATATCTGGTAAGGTAACTTACTTTCTTACAGCTTTGGCCAAATTGCTCTATGTCTCAACTTCTCTGTTCCCCTCTATGTAAATTGGGAATAAAGTATCTACTGCTGGAATTGCTATAAGGGTTCAGGGAGCTTGTACATTTGAGCCTTGAACAACACGGGTTTGAACTGTACCTATGCTGATCCACTGATAAGAAGACTCTTCAACAAATATATTGGAAAAATTGGAGACTTGCAACAATTCGAAAAAACATTTCCTTTTCTCTAGTTTACTATGTTACAAGAATATAGTATAATACATATACAAAATACATGTTAATTGCTTATTTTATCAATGAGGCTTTCAGTCAGCAGTAGGTTATTAGTAAAGTATTTAGGGAGTCAAAAGTCATACCTGGATTTTCAGTTGTGCATTTTTGATTACATGAAGGTCAGCACTCCTAAATCCCCCCACATTGTTCAAGGGTCAACTGTGCATACACACTACTCAGAACAATGCCTAGCACATGGTAAGCACTGAAGAAATGTTAGCTCTTATTTTTAAGGAAACTTACTTTCATTTGGTAACAGTCCCTGTATCTAAAACAGACTGGCAAACTGTAACTTGCTGCCTATCTTTGTATGGCCCATGGGCTAAGAATGGTCTGTACATTTTTAATGGTTGAAAAAAAGTCAAAAGAATAACAGCATTTTGTGGCACATGAAATTTTGAGAAATTTCAGTTTCAGTGTCCATAAATGAACACTTGTTGGTTCATTCATCTACATATAGTCTCTGGCTGCTTTCACATAACAGCAGAGTTGAGTAATTGCAACAGAGACTGTATGGTCCGAAAGCCAAAAGTATTCACTGTCCTGCTCTTTCCAGTAAAAGTTTGCTGACCCCTGATCTAAAATAAGATTAATGAATGAGAATTTTAAGAGTGACCTAATATTGTGAGGAGGCTATTTTAGTTTAACAGTAAATACCATTTGTAATATAAGTTCTATACATAGAATATCTGAATCAAGGGTTTGAAGATAAACAAATGCTTTTTAAATTTACCAATAATGAAAAGTCTCTTCTGTTAGGAAAAAGTTTGTACATTTGACATGCTATTGATTATGTATTTGTATTTGTCTTAAAGAAATGACTCCTTAAATCTTTAAACAAATTGCAAAGTAAATCATCCAGTTTAAAGGTAGGGTATGTATTTAACTTAATTGGATTTTTGGAAAACTGAAGTGTATCTTGTTTTTGAAGAATCCCATTTTTATGATCATGCATTGGCAAGCTGTTGGCTTCCTTTTCTAGTATTATTAGTGAATGAAATGCTGATGTCTTTGCTTTTATAATATGCTTTTGCTCTGCTATAGTCTGGTAATATCATATAACTAAGGTTGTTAGAACTGTATATAATACAGGAGTAAGTCTATTTTAAAGGCTTTGCATTTACAGCAGTAGTTCTCAAACTTGTGTTGGTAAGAATTGCCTGGGGGGTATTTCTTATATATAAACAATTTCGACCCATCTGTTCTATTGTCAGACTCTGTAGATCAGTACTTATGAAGCTATCTGTGATGAAAGACCAGTTTTTTTCCCCCTATCTGTCATGGAGTGATATTTCAATAAAACATAATAAAAATGAATTACTAGAAAAGTAAAATGGAGAAAAAAACAGATATAAAAAATTTAAAGTCCCTGTTTTCATTGTTAGATCCAACAGATTAAAAATTACTCTGCCAAAGCACTATCAAAGGTTCTTACATTCAATTTCTGTACGTGTTATGAGTCAACACCTATCTGGGCACTGTATGCTGGGAAACACTGCTCTGGAGGTTGCCTCAGAATCTTCATGTTTCAGAAGGGCATGGTGTCATTTAAATGTAGATATGATGGATGGACCAAATTTTGAAAAACAGTTCTAAGTTATGTCTGAGGGTGAGTGACTTTGTAACATCCATAACAATAGCTTGAGACTTTTAAAACTTGGTGCATTTTTGTATTTCTGGAAAATAAAGTATTCTATGAAATAATACTTTATGTCACTAAAAGTGTACCCTCCAGATAACTTAGATGTTACTGGAAAGAACTAAGAAGAATAGTCATACATAGTGTTTTGTAGAAGATTTAATTAAAATGCTGAAATTTTTCCAGATAAATAAACTTTTTCTAATTTGGCAGTATGGTGACTGATAATAATTTTTTGACCTAATGATGTCTTTACAGAGGCTTATCTCCTGCAGAAGCAGAATTTAATTACCTGAACACAGCACGTACGTTAGAACTCTATGGAGTTGAATTTCACTATGCAAGGGTAAGTAAAGAAAACTTACTTTGATGTTGTTGCATTGGTCTCCCTTTACTTGATACCAAAATTTTTTAATGCCCTGATGGGATTAAGCAACATGGAATAACTAGTGAGTGCTACCCACATAGTTGCACTGAAAATTTCTTCTGAATATAAATATTTTCACAATCAATAACTGGTGAGAAGAATGGTTGAAATGGCATTTTCATGTTATTTTTCTTCAAGGTAGTGTTTAATGTTATAAAGATAATCTTTGTAGACCAGAAGAAACAGTACATTTAGCATTTTTATTTTACAAAATAAAAATTGAATTATTGGAAAAGTAGTTTTTCTATATTGGTAGTTGTTGTAAAAGAAGTTTTTACCTCACTGAGGCCTATATTACTTCAGTTATATTCATCATTTACTGACATCATTATAAGTTTTTATTCATAAAGCACAAAATGAAGCATATTTTTATTGTCTGTCCCCCACGCCCTCCGCCAGTCCCTTTATCAAGATGAATTTATAGTCACTGATTGTCCTGAAAACTTCTTTTTCATTGTGTCAAACTTAGCTACTTCCAGAAGACTTAACCTCCTGCCATAAGAATATTTCTGAGTGGCTGTTCTTCATTTGTGTGTCTCTTCACCTAGATTCCTTCTCATGATTTTTTTATTAAGAGATTATATTCCTTTGGAAGTATCTGGAATACAGCTCTTTATAACTTGTGAAAAGTGGAATTAAAGGCAATCATTGTTGAGTTTGGTGATAGGTTTTATATTATCTTGGGACAAATTGTTGAGCCTAATGAAGATAGCAGCCTGAATGAGAGTTAAGTTCTCTTTAGGTAGTTATTTTGAATTTTATTTAATGTGGAGGCATACCCAGACAGACAGTGGTTTTAGAACTCAGAGTTCTACTCCATGTAATTGTTCTGCTGTTTAGGGCCTCAGCTGGCTATGTTCTAGGAGAGGAGTGTTAGTTTTTGTATTTAACAAAGCTTATGTTAACCTCTCCTTTGAAACACCAGTGATGTACTTTCCTTACATGGCTGTATCTGGTAATTCTCAGTGTTTTTGACTTGGAAATCTTGTGTGATTCTGTTTAAAATGTGTGGGTCTTCCTTGAACTTCTCATTTTCTTTAAAGTATGTTCCTTCTCTCTTCACCCCTATTATTATTTTGAATGTGATTCCCCAAAATGTAATATAGTGGTTAGTATTTGTGCAACTAAATTTTGTTTATTATAATAAAATTTAAAATTAATGGAGCTTAATGACTTCACTTATTTGTAGAGTATAAAAACAAAGCAAAACTGAAGGAACAAAATAGCAGACTCATAGACTCTGAGAAGGGACTAGTGTTACCAAAGGAGAGGGATTGGGGAGGATAGGTGGTGAGGGAGAAGGGGATTAAGGGGCACTATAATTCGCAATCACAGTAGAGGTGAGTCATGGGGAAGGCAGTACAGCATGGAAAAGACAAGTCATGACTCTGTGGCATCTTACTACCCTGATGGTCAGTAACTACAATGTGGGGGTGAGCACTTGATATTATGGGTGAATGTTGAAACCACAATGTTGTTCATGTGAAACCTTTATAAGATTGTATATCAATGATACTTTAATAAAAATTAACAGAACTTTAAATATATGAAATAAACTATGGTTAACAATAAAAAGACCACTAAATTCAGTCATTTTACTCCTTGGCAGTTTTCTAAAGGTACTATTGACTGTCTGCTATCATTTACATCTATCAATGAAATGCGAAGTGTTAGAATTTCCTTTTTTCATGTAAGTGACATGGCTGGATCTCATACACAGTTAGCCATATTACTACTTATTGATTTGATTAAGGAAGGATTTTTGTTGTTGTTAATAGATTGTAAAACTCATACTTAGAAAGCCATATAAATATGGAGTACTGGAACAAAGGAATTTCAATTTTAAATGGCCAAAGTTATTTAGAAACCTATTTTGAATGGGAAAAAAAAATCCAGGAAAGGGTATTTCTGTTGTATGTAAATACAGAGCACTTAAGAAGGAAATAGGCAAATATTTAGTGAACATGAAGGGAAGTTTTGCAGAATCAAGAACAAAAAGGACAAAGGATAGAGGGGGCAGGATACATACAGAGAATACTTGAGTTTTAATTTCATATTCCAAGCAAAGGTATGTTCGAAGTAATATTTTGAAAGCAAGGTAAAATGTTTTCTCTTTGCTTTCAGAATGTAGGTTGAAGAAATATCAGAGTAGAACCAAGTATTTATAGCAATCTACAAAATAAAAATAAGAGCTTTCACTGCAGCAGATATATTATGTGACTTGCTCAGTGCTGGTGCTGAGGATTCCTTAGTGAGCAAACATCAGTCATCCCTCCTGCCTTTATAGGGCTCATGGTACAGTGGGGAAGAAAGGATGGAAGATGTATTGATTAATATGTGAGGATATGAAGGGGAAAAGTACAGAATGCCTTGGGATCATATGGCAGGTATAAGATAAATTCTAGCCGAAATAAGCAGGCAACCAGAGGCAACAAAGGGCCACGTAATTTATTTGGATGCCCCCAGGCGAGGTTCTGCGGTCTGGCTATCACAGGCCGGGGAAGTCACACGAAAGTAGATAGGCAGCAAGTTTTTAAAGATAGGGGGAGGCAGAGCTTAGATTTACAGTGGCACAAGGATTGGCTAGCCTAAGGCACATTTTTCAGGTTGGGAGGGGGCAGCAGCCGGGGACTTTGGCACGTCATCAGTGTCTGACATGCTCCTCCCTCCCCCCAGTGCCTTCAACCTTACAGCAGGAACATTGAATCCAGCTTGGAAGCAAAGAATAGGGAAGGCTTCTTAAAAGCAGTAATTTACTAAAGCCAGAAGTATGAATAAGAATTAGCCAAGGAGTGGTTTCACTGTGGAACCATCAGCATGAAATGAAGACCTAAAAATCAAGAGAGAATGTGGTATATTTGTGAAAATAAAATCATGTGATATATCCAAAATACTATATGAATAAGGGGAAAAACAATTGTAGAAAAGTTGAGAATGAATGAAATGCCAGGATAAAAAGGAAAGAATGAAAGATTTGAGGAAATAGAACAGGGGATATTTTGCTTTTAAAGTAATAGAGTAGGTGGATGTTTTTGATTTTTTTGGTATTCATTGTATGAGTTTTAACACATCTGTAGGTTCATGTAACCACTACCATAATCAGAATACAGAACAATTCCATCATCTCAAAAGAACTTGGGGAGTGTTGTTGCCCTTTGTAGTCCAACATTCTGCTTGCCCATAGTACTTGGCAACTATTGGTCTGTTCTGGGACTCCATAGTTTTGAATTTTCCAAAATGTCATATAAATGGAATCCTATAGTATGGAACCTTATGAGAGGATTAAAGATGGTGGTGTGAGAGGTGAGACAGAGGCTTCCTCCTAAAACTGCATATAATACAAAATATAATTAATACAACTTATCCTGAGAGAGCAACAGGAAAGGACTGCACCAGACTGCATACACCTGGAGAAAAGAGCAGACCTCACTGAACGGGATAACGTACGAAAGCTGTGGCCCAGTGGGACCCAAGCCCGTCCCCCACTCCAGCTCACTGGCAGGAGGAAGAGAAACTGAGCAGGGAAGGAGTGGAGGCCTGGGACTGCTGAATACCTAACTCCGGAGATCTGCTCTGGGAGCACAAACCTACATTTCATGGTGCTTTCATGATACCCTCATGATTATGGGGTTGGAAAGCTAAGACAGGCAGAATTCCTGGAGAAACTGAGATTCCAGCTGCTTGTGGAAAGCAGGGCTCCATATCCGGCTACTCTGGGACAAAAGCTGATACCTGTGTGCTTGGCCCACTGGTTCACGCAGTGGAGACAGGCCTAGCAGCCAGGAAACAGGGAACAGCTCTTTCCTCCCCTCAGGCACCAATCCCACTCCCCTGCAATCCCCAACATTGCTTCAGGGGCTGAGCAGCTCCAGAGACTAGAGCTTCTGGACACTAGAGGGCGCCATACCCAAATATGAAATGCGGAAGGAACCTGGTACAGAGTAAAATTAATATAACCCCTGAGAAAGATGACATGGACCTCATGACTCTTCCTGAAAGGGAGTTCAAAATAAAAATCATCAATATGCTAGTGGAAGATGGTGGCATGAGTGGAGCAGTGGAAATGTCCTCCCAAAACTACATATATTTATGAAAATATAACAAAGACAACTCTTCCTAGAATAGAGAACAGAGGACACAGGACAACATCCAGACCACACCCACACCTGCAAGAACCCAACGCGTCGTGAAGGGGGTAAGATACAAACCCCAGCCCGGCGGGACCCAGCACCCCTCCCCCCAGCTCCTGGCGGGAGGAGAGCAGTCGGAGCCAGGAGGGAGAAGGGATCCCAGGACTGCTCAACACTCAGCCCCAGCCATCCGGAGCAGAGCGCAGACAGTGCATGCATGGGGTCCTGGATACTAGGGAAACAGGACAGCAAGACCTGTGAGCACGTCCCTGAGGCTGGCGCCATAGGACAAAGAAAAACAAGTGGCGTTTTTTAAAATTATTTAATTAATAAATTTATTGTATATATTTATTTATTATATGGTGAGTGCTTTTCGGAAGTCTTAAAGGGACAGGGACCCCACAACCGGACAGAAGCGTCCAAGGACACCTAGTCCAGAGGCAGGGAATCTGGGGATCTCCGGGCACTCTAACCCCCTGGGCAGCAGGGAGCACGGAGGCCCCTCACAGAGATAAATAGCCTCCTGGCCGTTCCCCCTCCAATGCGGCTCCACCATTTTGGAGCAGCAGCCCAAGCCAGGCCAGACCCACAGCAACAGCGGAGATAAACTCCATAGCAGCCAAGCAGGAATCAGAAGCACTGTCTACGTGCAGCTGCCCAGCACAAGCCACTAGAGGTTGCTGTTCTCCCAGGAGAGGCAGGCCACAAACCAGCAAGAAGGGAAGTTCTTCCAGCCATCACTCGTCCCAGCTCTGCAAACTATTTCTATCACCATGAAAAGGCAAAATT